TGCTGCCACCGGTTCAGCTCATTCCCTTCCCTGCTACTTTTCTAGGATGGTCGTGTACCACCTGCCAGGTGCCAATGTACCACAGGTGGTACCCGTACCACTGGTTGAAAAGCCCTGTTCTATACAACAGAAAATTGTATTTTAAAAAAATGTTTTTAAATCTTCCACCCCAGGATTCTACTCAATCAACAAGAACTAAGGAATAGAACATACTCACCTTAGCTCTATCAGACCACCCAAAGGACTGTACAGTTACATCTAAACGCTTCATTAACATCCGCCTGCGGCATTCATATTCAGTCAGAAGAGCCTCATTGATTTTTTCCAACTGCTTCTACAGTAAATAGAAATCGCTTAAAGTAATCCTTTTGTAAAAATGACTTATGTTTAAATCCAACAACCCCATCACAAGGTTTAAACACCAGGATGGGGACAGTTCATCATTGAGAAAATCTGTCTCTATGGCTACTAAGAGTCGACACTGTGTCAATGGTACAATCAATCAAATCCAGTATCAATAAATATAAATTCATATATTCAAATAAATGCAGACAAACTAAACCTAGCATATAATATATCCAATAATTAATTTGTATGCCCACTACATATGCAAGTTTGAAGAGAGAAAAAAAAAGGATGTTACCATTTGGTTTGTATTCAAAGGAGTTTTTAGCAGAGGTTTCTCCATGTATGCTTTTGGAACTTTTGACAAAACATCCTTAAGCTGAAAAAAAGTAGAAAAGACATTTTTAGCCTTTATGCCTTCCAAAAAATAATATCCTATATATCTAAGCAATTATATTAAAGCATGAAACACCCATCAGCAGAAACTGGATACAATGATTTCAAGTGATCTTACTGCAGCCAATACACTGTTTTCTACATGCAGACAAGAAGCCTTTTATCTGTTTCTCTCCCCTTTTCCCAAGGATGGAGAAATACATCATTTACCAGAGAAGGGTAAATACAATCTTCCACCATTTCCCAATTATGGAGAAATTATATGGAGTAATATGTGACTGGCTCACTCAAAGAGTTGCATGTTAAATGCCACCTCCCTTATGTATCTTCTTTGCGTTCCTCTACCAAATGAAGTGATATAAATTGTTACCAAAGCCTTTTTAGCTGTGGGACCCTTGTTGTGGAATGCCCTTCCAAAAGTTACATGCCTGACCCCCCCACATTGGTGCCAGACCACAACATTCCTCCTTTCCCAGTTTTATAGATTTGTAGTCAAAGACTTTAATTCCAATACAAGGGAATATATTGTTGCTGTCCCGTGATGGGAAGCATAGAAATTAAAAGAACAAATATGTGTTGAATTGTAGAGTTCTTGGTTCTCTCTAAGCTTGGCTGTTTGCATAGAGACATTTCACTACGTAACATCATCAGTGAGTATGAATGTGGAGTTTTCTATCTGTTTATTTACAGTAACTTGTCCTGCCATTTTGGTGGGAGTGTGGTTTCCTCTTTGGGGGTTTCTTGGTTGTTTTGTATTTTTTAATCACAATAGATTGAAACTAATATAAAGCATTCGGATGTTCAAAATATACTATACCTTTGACTCTATATTGTTTAATGAGACAGGGAGAGAATACAAGTCAGAAGATGCTGACGATTTTGGCACCCCTAAAACATCACAGATCATCTGGATTTCCTTATGAACTTCATCATTCTTTGCCAAATGAGAACCTTTACATTGTTTAAACTGTAGTATCTGCAAGGCCTGAAGTTCTGTACTTAAAAATACTATAAAATAAGGAAGAAAAAGAAATATGTTAAAACCTGGTGTTTGTGTTTCATCAAAAAAAATTAATGATCTGCCAAGCTGGTTGGGATATCAATATAAAACTAAATAAAATAAAAAATAAGGCATGAAGCAAATAAAAACTGGACTAAAAATAAATTTTATAATAGAGCAACCATTATTTCCTTTAGAGAAAAAATATTAATGGATTAATACCAATACATTCATCCACCATCACTTGGTTATCATGAATCAGACTGTTCTTGGCAACTTAGCGGAATTTAGCAATAGGAATGAACATACTACTAATCAAATTCTAATAACATAGTAGGCAGACATCCTCCATGCATTCCTCAGTTGTTTCAG